CTGGGTCATCAAGATCATTTTTGTATAGTTCTTCTGTGTATTCTTGCCACCTCTTCTTAATATCTTCTGCTTCTGTTAGGTCCAAACCTGCAGCAGCTTTAACTAAATCTCTTGCTTGGAGATATGTTGATTGTTACTGGTAATAAACATTCAAATAAGTGATCCTCACAAGAACAGGACTATGGTTACACATTTTCAGATGAGATGATTATAATTATTCTTACTATTAATTTTATACTTAGAGTGGAGGGAGAAACAGACATATTTTTATATTGGGACTTTTTCCAGACAGAATACCACTATCTATCATTTTACTGAAGATATAACCTTAGTTTTACATAGAATCTCTGTTCACCTCCTCTCCATTTGCTTAAGCCTGAAGCTCTGATTTCTACTGTATCAAATGGCTTAAACTGACCAAAATCTGGGTGTCTAGTTTTAGCTTTCAGCACTGAGGCAATGCAAGGGTCAGTGCACATAGTTGTGCTACTAGAACTAGTTTCATCTGATGTTTTTATTTTTCTGTCCTGGCCTTTAAAGGTTTACATATACTTTCCAGCAAGAGAGAAAACATTTAAAAGTATAGCTATTGGAAATTTCCCAGCATCTTGATGTTTTGCAGAGGGCATTTTAGAAAACTGAATCTGCCTCATCCTTGGGAATGGAAGTCAGTCTTTTCTCAATGAATATGGAGTTAATCAAATCTACCTCATAAAAATAATGTGGGGATTAAGTTTAATACCATTCATAACTGCACACCACAAGGACTGACATAAACATGCCCTCAATAAATGGTGACTTTTACTATTTATATTATTATATATTGATAGTTTCTAAGAAGTAAACATATTGACAAAATCATAAAGCACATTCTTTTATTAGACAAATGGCTTTCCAATAATAATTTTGACCTCATGACTAATAGAGAGTCACTTACTCCCCTGGGTGACTTTATAGTTTTCCTTCAATCAATATTTGTCTATTCTTCTCTATTTCTGCTAAGGAAGATGTGACACTGAGTGACCAATTCAAAGTCATAATTACTGGAGCAATTAATGTGACCTCATGCTGCCTATCTTCAGCATTACTACTAAAGCAGAAACAGCCAATTTCGATTTTGCTTCTTCTATTTTAGTGTCTGCTATTTAATGATAGGTGAAAAAACTTATAGATGACTTTGAGAAGATGAGAAATGGAGATGTTAACAATATATAAGGAAGATGAAATAATCACTAATCAAGAGAACTGGTGAAGGCTTTGGACTTCTGAATATGTTTACTTTTAATATTTAATACTCTAAAATATTTTTAAATTAATCATCCCTAATATGTTTAAACTCATACTGTAAGATTTCCTAAGAAATTAGGAAACCAGTTATTTGCAGTATTTACTTCTTACCAAGCAGCTTTTATTTTTAATATAAGGAAAAGGTCACTGAGATTGAAGGTAGTATGGTCAACCAGTCATGTGTCTGGGCTCCAAGAGTAGAGAGTTGGGTCTAAGCATAATAGTGTTGTAGTCTTTGATACCCTTTCCATTTCTATAAAATGTGAATGTAGAAGACTTTATAACATAGGTTATTGAGATAACACGTGAGAAAATGCATGTCAGGCACTTGGAGCAGTGCCTGAGTCTTTGTAACAATTATACTACTACTGCTATTATCATTTTACTATGTTGATAACACATCTTCTGTAGCTTGGTTACTCTGTAATAAATGGGAAAAATTGGATTACTTGGTACCATTTTTGGAACTGTCTCCTGGTTTGCTAACCATTTCTTAAATCATTACTGTGAATAGAAAATGTAGTGCCATATGATTATGAAGAGTGAAAGATGCCTTTTTAAGGAATGGAGATAATTTATTACTTATTTGAATGCAAAGTCACACTCTGAAATTAGGAATAGGATCTAGCATATCTCTTTTAAATATTCATAGGCAATAAAAACTCTGGCTGTTTGATTGATTTAACAGGCAACTGAATATTACCTTTGCTCTGCATAATTGCAGTTCTAAGAAACATTAGGTAGGCAATAAAAAAAAAGCACCACAAACCTCTGACATAGGCATTTTAATTGGAAGAAAATGGGCTACGGCTCATCTTCAAATGAAAGAGCACTTTGTTTATTAATAGAAAAAAAAAAACATGCCTTTCTTTAGCCGAAAAAAAAAAAAAAGGAAAATTACAGCTTTTAAAGATTCAGAGAATACTCCCTAATACCATTCACAAAAATTAACTCAAAATGGATTAAAGACCTGAATGTAAGGCCAGACCCTATAAAATGCTTAAAGGAAAACATAGGTAAACATTTTCACATAAATTGAAGCAGAATCTTTTTGAGCTATTCCTAGAGTAATGAAAATAAAACAAGTATTAACAAATGAAACCTAATTAAACTTAAAAGCTATGGCACATCAAGGAAAACCATAAACAAGACAAAAAGACAACCCTCAGAATGGGAGAAAACATTTGAAAATCAAACAAATGACAAAAGATAAATCTCTAAAATATATAGACATCTCATGAAGCTCAACACCAGAAAACAAACTATCCAATCAAAAAATGGGGGGAAGACCTAAATCGACATTTCTCCAAAGAAGACACACAAATGGCTGACAAACACATGAGACACCCTGGTTTTAACTTGTGTCTCCTCTTAACTCTTTGATCATTGCTTCTTTTTTCTTTGTAAACACTGTTTCCTCGGCTGAAAATTTGATGTGGGATGTAACTCCAAAATTCTATGCGTTTTTTAAAAATCTTGACTTATCTGGGGTGATCTCCTGAACTCTATAGATTTTCAGTATATAGCCTGAAAAACTCCCCATCTTTGTAACTTGTTTGAATCACTCTCTTTAACTTCAGTACTGTGAATCTCTCTTTTACAGGATTAGGGAAAATCCCCACCTGGGTCCTCCATATGTACTGCAACATTTTGCTGCTGTTCTGCCATATAACCCGCTAACCTCAGATCTCTGAGCTCACCTGAAGCTTTGGTGACCAGTACGTGCACACACTGCTCGATTCCCACCTTAAACTACCGCATTTCTCAATTTTATGGCTCTAGGCAGCCGAGGAGTACTGGGATTTTATGCACCCAAGGGCAACCCTCCAACACAAAGGGAGGAAAATGGGTGAGAATGCTCCAGTTTCCATTAGCCCAGTGGGGCAATTCTGTGTGCTCTGAGACACTGGTGTGCTACCTGATTTCTTTAATGCTCCCAGTGGGACTGACCCAGTAACTCACAGTGGAAACTCACTCATAAAAGCATCCTATATCAGCCTTCCAAACTTTCATTCTCCATTCTCCCCATGTGCTCACTTGCCTTTCTTGGTATCACCTCCCAAATAAACTACCAGAACCTAAGGTCTGAACTCAGGGGTTGCCTCTTGTTACTATCAAACTGAAGCGTGCATACTTGGCTCAATGGGGGCAAAAAAATGACATATGATCTTTCACCTTCAAACTAGTTTTCTTCCTTACTTCCTCAAAGTTGTTTCTGAAAAACACCACATACTTCATCACCTAAGTCAGAAGAAACCAAGATACTCTCCTGGATTTTGCATTTTCTTTCTACTTGTCACCATCGGTGGCCTTGCCTTCAACTGAGCTAAAATATCACTTCTTACTTGGTCTCTCTCTCTGCCTACGGTCTCCCTATCTCTTAACCAACACTCCACTCTCGATGTAACATAATATGAGGATGGCACCTCTCTTCTCCTTCCCTCTCATATATTAAACCCTTCAGTGGTTCCCTCGGTGCATGGTTAAGAGCATGGCTGTACACCAGACTTTTGGTGATGCATAGATCACCCTGAGCAGTTTCACTGATGCCTGCTTGTTCAGGCTCACCTTCAGCCACAACCCCATCTGCATTGTGTGTTCTAGTACAACCAAATATTTCTGATTTTCTGTATGTGCTGGTGGTCAGCTGTCTGTAATCGCCCTCCTGCAACTGCCTATTTGGCTGCCTCCTACTCTAATTAAAAAAAATGTAGTTTACAACCAACCTTTTTCTAGGAAAGCTACCCCAAATACCTTCCAGTGCTGACCCACACATATCTGCGTCCTTTTCCATGTCCTCTAATCCTCTGTAATCACTTCTAATGCAACATTTTGCATCCTATAAGGATCTTCTTTTGTTTTTATATCTTAGAACACACTAAACAATCAATACACTTTTGCTTAATTAATCAGTGTCTACAAGTAGTTAGAGGAAATTTCTCTTATTATCAAACCTTCAAACAGCGTCACACATATTCTAAATGCACTTAGCAATTAGATATGGAACTAAACCTCATTATGAGGTGTTTTTTCCTTCTTCGTAAATAATCCATTCCTGGTTTAGGAGAGTGTATGCAAAACATTGTTTGATTCAGAGAAATATGTTATTATTTTTTCAATTTTGATTTGGAAAAACTCATACCATGTGCATTAATTTTAAATATGAAAATTCCTCTGTCATATATAAATAAAAACTCACATTATTTGGGAAGAATAAACAATATCCAGTATCTTGGGCACTAATAAAATCACCTGTATTATTAACAGATTACATATGGACATAACAAACATGTGTGCACATGTTTGAAGAGCGAGAGAGAAAGAGATGGGTGATGATACCTACACATATTGGTTAATCTTGCAGAGGGAAAAAGAACTGTGGTCAGATAAGATCTGATTTTGAACACTAGATTAACTATTTACTCGTTTGAAGATCTGAGCATGTTACTTTATTTGGTCTCTTTCAGGATTCCTATTAAAATCCATAGTTTATAAAGGTTTTGTAAGATAAATTGATATAGCACACATGTAACTATTTCAGCCATGTCTAGCACTTAAAAGTTTCTACAACCTGGAAGCTGAACTAATATTTAAAGTATTCCCTAAAAAAAATAAATAAAGTATTCCTCATTTTGCCTAAGAGGCATAAAGGTATTTGCTAGACATTTATGCAAATTAATTTAAAGAGATTTTTTTCACTTCGCCCACCATACCTCTTCATGTAGTTCTCTCCAACGAGAATTAAATGTCTCGAGTTCTTCATTGATCAGTTCATCCATGACTCCGCCATCTGTTAGGGTCTGTGCCAATATGCGAATCTGATTCGGGTTATCCTCTGAATGTTGCATCAAATTTTCAAGTGACTGAAAAAATTTGCAATAATTACTACATCTCTTTTTCTAAATCCACTGAATTAATCCAAAATGCTCAGTATCTTCTGATTTACATATAATTAAGTTATAAGCAACCTAAACCAATATTCAACTGGGATAACAAACGTGAAAGATCATTGTTACTTTAAAACTATGATTCTGCTTCATGTGAATTTTCACAGGCTTGTGGCAGAATTATGGAATGGGGTACATAAGAAGTGATTCATGGCCACCTTCTCTGAAACTCTACTCTAAAACCTGGGGGATAAGACACTCAATTTCCCAACCTCTCATAGCTAGTGATGGCCAAGTGACATGATTCTGACAATGTAGACATTCAAGAGCAGAGTTTCCCTTCCCACATTAAAACAAGTCACAGTATCTTTTGAAGAAATCCCTTTGCCCTTCACACGTTTTCACATACATGGCTTAGAGGTAAAATAGCCATCTTTGGACTGGGAGGCAATAAGAACAAGGATGAGGTGCTTCTATCTGTTGATTTAGTATGATAAGTGCATGATCGCATCCTTTGTTCTGGCCGTGATTCTTTTACTAATGTGTAAGTTTGCCATTTTGTCTCATCTTTTTTGGAAGATGCTTCACAATGAATGTTTGGTCATTGAACATCTCTGAATAAGACAGGGACAAAGTCTGTTTATAGTCTGTTTGAGACCTGGGCCTCTCATTGTCCTTTGATACCTCAAAGTTTTACAGTTCTCTTGAGAAAATGAAGTTGGATATAATCATGCCCAGGTTTATGCTGCAATGTCCTAGGATCCCAATCCTATTCAGTCAAAAACATTTTACATTTTCTTAACATTTTGATTTATTTATGTACCTTGTTTTAGTGGGTTTACAAAGGGGCTGAACTACAAATGGCTCTATACACAATATGCATTAATAGACTAAAACTACATATTCATTATATATAAAGTATTATCCAAAAGCTCAATAAAATGGATAGGACATGAATGACTGTCAGAAATTCACATAAGTCAAAGTTTATACATGCAAACTCCTTTAAATTTTACTTCTTAAGGATCTCCAAAGGGAAATCTGAAAATGTACTAAAATTCTATAGGTAACTAAAAGGTATGAACATTTTAAAGATACATTTCCAATAACAAAGCATGCCTATTTCATACCTTGAAACATCCTGACAGTAATAAATTTATGATTTTTAAATAATGTAAAAATATGCTCCAATTCAGTGATGGTAGCTGTTAAACTGGAAATAATGTTTTACATTATCATCCTGTTTAGCTCTATTCCAATGGAGCAAACTTGTGCGTTCAAACTGTATCTGCAGGTCTGTAGTAGATTTAAGTAGGTAAAACAAAATGTCAACATCGAACTTAGTGATATAGCAAAAGCAAATGTCCTTTGTAAGAGGTTATTTAAATTCTCTTTAAAACCTTTAGACTGGAAGGTTCATAATGAAATCAAAAGTGTCATCCCAACTGCTAGGGCTGGGGAAGGCATAGCACCTCTAATCTTTGTGTGGTTTTCTTTGAGTTTATTTCCTATTTGGTTCCTGACATCTTTCAATGAGACATATCAATTATCATAATTATATTAATTCACTACTTACACTGAGCACCTCGGAGATTTCTTCAGCTCCACCAGGAATATTTTCAGTAGTCTTAAGTTTCAATTCTACTTCACTTAGCCACTTATTTGCCTTTTCCAAGTATGACAATAACTCATGCCAACATGCCCAAACTTCCTGTGAAAGAAATGAATATCATGGATGAAATATTTTGATAGCAAAGTGAATGTGTGACTCTGGTATTTCCATTTTTAAAACTTCTAAAAATAACACATTTTACACCTTTCATCTCTCCTTTGTAATAGATCATTGAAAATGCAGCTAGTCATTTTGAGCATCTAATACATTTATGATTACAAATCATTAAGGAAAAATTTTATTACATGAATAAATTCAAGATTCAGCGATTTACTTTTTAAATAAAAAAATAATCAACATTACAGTCTGGGAAATTCAAAAATAAGAGTATGCATAAAATTGCACATAAAAACCTAACATTACAACACATCAGCTACTACCACTTTTCTCTGACCTCTAAATTTTATCACATATAAATACCTAGATAGTTAAAAGTACGGATTTAACTATATTGTCTTTTTTAACATTATATGTTATAATTTTTTCCATATTACTAAGAAGATTCATGTCAATGTATGACAAAAACCACTACAATATTGTAAAGTAATTAGCCTCCAACTAATAAAAAAAATGAAAAAAAGAAAAAGAAGATATAGTCTAAATAAAAATGCAATATTTTACTTAAGTGGCTATAGTTTGGTTTCCTTAAAAATCAGCACTTACTGTAAAGGTAGACTACTTTTAGTTTTGTTTGCTATTATATATATGTGGTGACCATCATCATGAACGGTCCATCATGACCATTCCTATTTCAAATTATTTCCTAATGGTATATTAGTAGAAAATATGAATGTAAACTATCTCAAGGATATGAGTATTTTTAAATGACTTGATATACAGTAAAAAATTAATATTCAAAAAGAGTCATACATGAAAAAGCAAAATTTTAAGACTGCTACCAGAAAATATAGAAGAATATTTTTTGACCTTGTGATGGGGAAGTATATCTAAGACATTTTTTTAAAAAGCTGACCATAAGAAAGACATAAACAAACTTAATAACACTAGAATTAAAACTTTCTATTCATCAAGACACAAGGAAAAAATTGAAAAACAGTCTCAACTTGAAGAAAACAATTGCAAAATTAGTAATAGTAAGTAATACAAGTAATAGTAATAGTAAGAATACAAAAGGAACACCAAGTCAGTTAAAAGATGAACAAATAACCTAATAGAAATATGAAAGAAAATCCTAAACCACTATTTGAAGGAAAAAGATACATGTGTGTATGATAAATATTTACAAATATGTTCAGACTCATTAGTAACCAGGAGACTGTATATATCAGTATTACAAAGAGATATTTATTATTTTGATTAACACAAATGCTTAATTTGACCATTTCAATTGTGAGAGGAGATTAACACAAATTTGGATTTATTGCTGGTGGGTGTGTATAGTAGAATGGCCATTTTGGAAAACAAGTTTTCATTCCCAGTAAGGGAAATATTTACATACGTAGCAATTCAACAAATTTAAAAATAAGGAAAAGAGCCTTAATGTCCAGTAACAAAAGAATGTATACATATACCGTATCATACTTACACAGAGAATATAGAAGTGAAAATGAAAACTTCAAGGAGAACCTTATGGATGAGGCCCAGACACAAAAATGTTGGGCAAAATGAGTAAGCCCTAGTAAACAATATATTACAGGTTACCACTTTCTATACCCTCAAAACAAGCAAATTTGAGTAGTATATTGCTGAGGCATCCACATGTGTGTGATAAAACCCATTTTAAGCAGATAAATAATAAAGACCATTTTCTGGATTAAGGCTATGTCTGCTGGTAAAAAGTAGGAAGATGCACTAGAGAAAAAGAATATTTTAACAGTTATTTTCCATTAGCCTTGATATTGTAAATACTGGGCAAATGTATAAATCTACCACTGCAATCACGACCACCTGCCCTGCTACCACCCCTTTGCCATCCCCAAAAATAAAGCGTAGGAAGGACATTTTATCTTAAGAGAAACTAAAAATTCTATCAGATTTCCCATATTTTCACTTTTTCTCACAGCTCTTTCAAATGATGAACACTGTCTCTCTGTAACTGATGAAAAGGATCAGTCTAACCTGCTTTGTCAGTCTACCAATTCTTGCCTGGTAATTTATGTACAGTTTATCACAGAAAGTGAAATTAAGTATTTTGCTTTAAAAAGTGATAGAAATCTTAAATCTGGGTCATTTCCAGCTCTTGCTGGACTACAGGCTGTCTTCCTTCTGGGCAAATATCCCAGTGGGAAAATATAAATATCCCCTTAAATACCCAAGTGTACTTTAGAGCTTTGAAGATAAGGAGATGCGATTGGGAATACGTCTTATTAACTTTGTTGCAGATTGAGGTAATGAACTACCTTGCTGATTTAACCATCAGGATAGATGGCCTCTTGTGTCCTGAATGCATCTGAAGGACACAGCTGGAGAAGCTGAATGTACTGACTTTACAGGTCACCTCTGCAAAATAAAATATAGTCTTGCAGCCTGAATTGGAGCTAAAAGCCACTTAGAATAATTGTTAAGCTTAACAGTTTGGAACTTAACATTACTTTGAAATCACCAAATTCAAAGTGGCTTTGAAGAAAGTACAAGAGGAAAAAGAGACTTCCATTAAAAATGGTAAATGCTGATTCATGTCACTGTATGGCAAAAACTACTACAATATTGTAAAGTAATTAGCTTCCAACTAATAAAAATAATTGGGAAAAAATGGTAAATGGAGCTGATTTGGTAATCCCTTCCCACAACCTGCTTTGGTCATATTAAAATCATGCATGTGTGCTAACTTGCTTCCCTGTGTCCGACTCTGGGAGCCCATGGACTGTAGCCCACCAAGCTCCTCTAGAAACAGTATTTAAAATGTATTTCAAATTCATAGGTGATTTATAAAAGAACTATGAAAAGTCCCCAGGTAGTATAAACAATAAAGATTGGGAAACTAAGCTTAACAAAAATATCGCCATATCAGAACATAAGAACTGGGGTACTCAAAACAAATTTGCTATGGGAAAAGCGGTACTGGTCTCATGCATTCCAGGGAGATAAAAAGCATAAAGCTGGGTGTCACCTATCCTGGAAACAAGAACTAAAAAATCCCCATACATTGGAGTGTAAGAAACTAGCAAGAAAGCTGAGAATCCTTTGGATTTTGATTGGAAAATAAGTACTCACACATAAGAAAGTGAAACCTAAGTTTATATCACATATGAGGATAGAACATAATATCTCTCAGACTGTGGTAGAGACAAACAGAAGACTCTTAAGGATTCTCCAATAGCCTAGCACAGAAGGGACTTCCAGTAAACTACAATTCCTACTATAGATGAGCTCACAAACACAAAATTACAAATCACATGATAAAACTCACTATTTTAGAGGGAGTTAATAGTTGTAACAAATAGTAGAGCCCATCCATTGTGGTAAGAGATAATAGATTTATTCAAAGAATTTTATAAGTTTATAAGTTTAGCTTGGTGATAAAATTTGCCAGTAGGATCTACTTTTCTTAAAACTAACAACCAGAATTCATACTTAACATTCCATGTTCACAAAACTTTTGCTAGATGTTTCTACAAGCTCTCATTAGACAGAGAGAGGACTAATGGGCAGGAACTGGGGGAACAAAAAAGAGATGGATTTGAAAAATTAGGCAATTCTTTTTTGCCTTTTTATGAGGATGTTTAGACGAAACTCATCTGGTCCCTTTCCTTTACAAGATATAAAAGAGCACTGTTCTTCAAGTGTGTGTGAATATTCAGAAGGGAATGGCTGACATGTATGCCCTATTGAACTGCTGGTATGGACAAAAAGGAATCAAGCACAAATCTTCCACGTTCCTCATTCCTAGGCATTATGCAATATGGGACCTGCCAGTGCCCACAGGCTGGTTTGGGAGGTGGTGGGTAAGACTCCAGGATATCACAAAGCCTGAGTAAAAAGGGTTTAATTTTCACTGTGTTATAAGGCTACTGGCAAGAGTCAGCCTGAAATTCCTGTTGAAGTCTCCAAGGTTATCATGTATGCTCAGGAAATATTTTTTCAGGTTCACAGTTCATATGCATAAGGCCAACTGGGCTCTCCATCCGAACACGACTATAGAGAACAAGCCGGATCAGTAGTGATACCCTACAGAGTCTGGTGAAAACAGACACATCATCACAGATGTGTGTGGGTGTTAACAAAATGTTAATAGCAATTGCACCCAGCCAAGAAAAGAACATCAGATAAAGGGTGCGTTTCTCCTTCCTTAGCCTCCCATATACCAGAATTAGAAGATTATTATCCAGAAATTGAGATAAAGGAACTGTAAGCTCATTTTTTTCTCACTCCCACCTGTGTATAAATTACTGAATCCACAAGATTAAATTGGTGGAAGATTTTAATAAAGTATGAGATCAAAATTTATCAGACTAAATTTTAATAACTAAAAGTAAATGAAAACAGATGGTATCAGAATGAAATGCTGTTTAAAAAGCCAACTATAGGCTTAAATGGAGTTTAACCTGGTTGGTTTTAGTTATTGGACAAACAAAACTGTTTCATGCTTATTACTCATTAAGTTGAGATTTCTCACCCAAATATATTTAAATCATTTCAAGGAAAAAACAGAGATAATTACAAAAAAGCTGAAGATGGTAGAAAAGAAGAGACAGATTTGCAAAACAAGTAAGTAAAACCTTGAGAAATGGAAAATATGGCCCTTGGAAAAAAATACACACACACACACACACACACAGAGATAGACGTGTATACAGATAGAGATGAATATATTTATATATCAAAGATTAAGTTATGCCCTAGGCAGTTGAAGAGAGAATTTGAGAACTGGAAGACAAATTTTAGAAAATTATCCAGAACCCAATAAATAATAATAGAAATACAGAAAATATTAAAGAGAAATCAAGAATCAGAATACAGGATGGGGAGATTCTTCATAGATCCAATAAAGGTTCTCCTAGGAAGGAATGGAGAGATTGGGAGAAAGAAAATCTCTCTCTAAAACTTTTGGAAACCACCAAAAAGAGAAATATTTTTTTCTGTTCTTATTAACATGCCGGGTGACAAAGTATAAATGAAAGCAAATTATACATAGAAAAATAGACTAAAACTGCAAAGCATCAAAGACAAAGAGAAAATGAAAACATACCAAAGAAAACTGAAAAGAAATAATGATTTGGCAGCAGATTTGACAGCAAGACATTTCAGAAGAAAATAGAATACCATTTTTCACTGTTGTAAAAAATAACTCCCCGAGCATAATTATATGGTCAGCTAGGCTATTTCTCAACACTTAGGGGGCAAAAAGGTATTTTTAGCCATATAAAATCTGAGAGCACTTGCTCGTCACACTCAATGAAAGAGCAGAAGCAAAAGAAATATACGAAAAAGGAAAAAGTATCACAGAAATTGGTAAAATAGTGGTGGCAAATTTAAATAAATAATAATTTCAACAACACAGTGGCAATGATACTGATAACTTAGGGAAATAATAAATGAGGTACAACAATAATATGGAAGATGGGAAGTAAGTTCAGAGTTAAACGATTCTAGTGGTTCTGCTACATCATTGTTACAGAGGTGCACAGAAATATTTATTATTGGTGGATACTATGATCAAGGTATTCAAGATAATAATTAAGGGTCCCATTAAAATAAAATCAATAGTATATGTATTCCAAACTACTGGAGAAGGAATAAACACAGGCTAAATAATTTGATAACTTTACAAAGAGGAAACTTTAGAAGTGTCATTACAGATGAGAAATTAGAGGATAATTCATTACAAAATATTAAAAATGTTGTTCTTAATACAAAAATAAAATATTTCTTTGGAAAATATACCCCAAAACAGATTCCTGGAGGAGTAGAATATTTTTAAGTGAACAACTTGAATAATACAAAGCAAAGAACAATGAAGATGCAAGGAAACTAAGAACTTAAGAAAATAATATTAAAATGTTTTATTTGACTACTATCAGAAAGCAACTTCCTAGATATAAAAAGTCCTTCTCTCATATAACCAAATAGTGAATCAGTTCTGATTTCCTGGAAACTATCAGTGCCATCTCTTCCTCTCCATTCTTTATTTTCTGTAGCACTGACATAGCATGAATCAAAGAGATTTCCCTTTATATCCTCAGCAGCTATAATAGTTCCTGGGAACTATTAAGGCACTAGTCAAGTGTGTGAGGAGTAAATTGGATAAAAAATGAACAGGGACTGATAAATAAAGATGGAAGTAGAACTGATAATGGAGAAACCTGGGAGTTGTAATATTGGTAATCTTGAGTACAGAGCAAAAGATATTATTTTAATATTTTTAAAGTTCTACTCTACTGGTGCTCTACACATTCAGAGAAACTTCTCTAGTAATGAACTATAGAAATGATCCCTGAAAGTATACCCTGAATATTCATTGGAAGGACTGATGTTGAAGCTCTAGTACTTTGGTCACCTAATGCAAAGAGCTGAATCAGTGGAAAAGACCCTGATGCTGGGAAATACTGAAGACAGGAGGAGAAAAGGACGACAGAGGATGAGATGGTTGGATGGCATCACTGACTCAATGGACATAAGTCTGCTCCGGGAGATGGTGAAGGACAGGGCAGCCTGGGTGCTGCAGTGCATGGGGTCATAAGGAGTCGGACAGGACCTAGCAACTGAACAACTCTACAGGTTATGACTTATTGCTGTTGTTTGGTTGTTAAGTCGTGTCCAACTCTTTTGTGACCCCATGGACTCCAGCCCGCAAGGCTCCTCTGACCATGGGATTTCTGAGGCAAGAATACTGGAGTGGGTTGCCATTTCCTTCTCTAGGGGATCCTCCTGACCCAGGGATCAAACTCCTGTCACCAGCATTGGCAGGCAGATTCTTTACCACTGAGCCACTTGGGAAGCCCATGACTTGTATCTGTCTCTAAATATAAAAAAGTTCCATAAACAATCATGTTTTTCAACAATAATGGTATACCTGGATTCTTTATCAATATTATGCACAAAGATGATTCAGTTTGTGCAGGAGAAGTTGGCTTAATTTAAAGCCCAACTAGTTGCTGTATCTGGTAGCATCAGCATTTGATAGTAGGTTAAGTTTTGTGCTCCTTGGCACTATACCCATTATTAGTAAACAATACTTTCACAGGGAGGATCATAGCTTGTTTTTGATACAGTTACATGGTAATCAATTGAGACACTTGAATTACTTAGCAGACATATTCAGAGAATCATAACCCAAGGACTAAAGCATGTGGAAAAGATAAAGCAGGGCTTATGATAATAAATATTATGTAAAATGTCCAAAAAATGCTAGGTAGACAATGTCTTGTAAAGAACTCTGTAGGGCACAGCAATCAATAAAGACAATTATAAGAAGATAAACTTTCTCCCCAGAAAATCTCCCTGATGAGATACTTATATAGCTTTGGTGGTGGTGGTTTAGTCGCTCAGTCATGTCTGACTCTTGCAACCCATGGACTGAAACCTGCCAGGTTCCTCTGTCCATGGGATTTTCCAGGCAAGAATACTGGAGTGGGTTGCCATTTCCTTCTCTAGGGGATCTTCCCAACCCAGGAATCAAACCCAGGTCTCTTGCACTGAAGGCAGATTCTTTACTGACTGAACTACCAGGGAAGCACTTAAAGCCTAACTAGTTGCTGTATCTGGTAGCATCAGCATTTGATAGCAGGTGAAGTTTTGTGCTCCATGGCAATATACCCATTGTTAGCAAATAATACTTTCCCAGGGAGAATCATAGCTTGTTTTTGATACAGTTACATGGTAATCAATTAAGACGCCAGTTTCTATTGGGTTGCCTAAAAAGTTCATTTGGGTACCTCCATTACAGCTTATAGAAAAACCCAAACGTACTTCTTAGCCAACCCAATATAAATCTTGAGAAAACTTATTCATGGGATTTTGTGACCTAATAATTATCATAATAAAAAGATCTAGACAGGGAGCGGCTCACATTTATTGAGTGCTAGGCTAAATACTTTTTTTTCTTTTAATTGGAGGATAATTGTTTTACAATGTTCTGTTGGTTTCTGCCATCCAGCAATGCAAATCAGTCATAGTGATATAAACATACACACACACACACACACACACACACACAGACGTATATATCCTTTCCCTCTTCAGCCTCCCTCTGCACTTTAAACAGAATAACAGTTCATTTAATTTTCTCAACATCCTTTGATTTTTAAGTCCTTTTTACAGATAGGAGGTAGGTTTATAAACGTTAAGCAAATGGCTCCCAGTAGCTAACTTGTAAGTTAGCCTGACTGAGGGATTTGAGCCTAAGCAGTACCTAAACCAGAGTTCATGTTCTTAATCATTATGCTTCACATACAACCGTAAGTTAACATGTAGTAATTGATAAAGGTCAAGAAAAGTGACTGACTTCTAACGTCTTGCATTTTCCATTCAGCCTGGTGCAGAGCCACTGGTAGTTGGTGGTCAGAGTGTCCAGTTCCTTTCTTAAAGCCTCTTGTGCTGCAGGTTGAGCTTGAGCTATGACACTGTTTACGGATTCAGTGAGGAGCTGCACTTTTGCTTCTTTTTGCTGGGCCTCTTCTTTAGCTCTCTGAAAAATTAAAAAAAAATGCTCTCTTAATAGCAAGGCAATGATTTGACTTCTAAGATGCATTTCTACATATCATAATCTTTCTTCCTTGTAATGTCTCTGTTAGAATGAGATTAATAAAAATAAATCCAATACTGACTCCAATCACTTTCATAAATTTCAGTTTGGTTACAACTGGAAACTCACAGGAAAAATATACTCAGAATATAACAGATCTTTAATCAGAATAGTTTGAAAAGTAGTCTGTATGCAGATGTGTATTTGTGGAGAACACATACATATATCCATACACACAAAATAAGCAAGAAATAAATATTTCAATGTTAACTAGGTTCAAAAAACCTCAGAGGACAGAACAGAAACCACTTATAAATTGCTCAGATGGATGAATAATGAAATCAGTACAAATATAATTATTTAAATCAAAAGATAATTAACAGAAATAAGTCTTCTTAATGCTGTATTTGGGAACATATTATAACAGAAAAGTGTTAAGTAACTGAAATCAAGAAAGAGAAAGATCAGATACTTCCCTATTATGGTTACTCAGTCACTGCTGAGTCTTTATCAATTATATGTTCAACAACTAAGTCTTCTCTTGTTCCGGGAAAAATGCATTAAGATACCCAATCATAGAATTACTCCTACTTGGCGACAACATGAAATCCAAAGCAAAGCCCTTAAACTCTCCCTTAAATCAACCCCCGCTTAAATCATCTAACATAAATCCAAATCCTACAATAGGTTTGAATACCCACTTACTCATATAGCCCATGGTGGCCTATGGTGTGGACTCTCCCTCACTGCCAAAGTAATCAACTCAACTCGTACAACTACAGAGTGTTGCTGTTGGTCAGTGTGTTACAATGAAGGTTAACACTGAGATGAGCTTTCAAGCATAAGTCATTTATGTATGATGTGAAGGGAATAGTGGTAGGGAGGTAGGGAATGGGAAAAAAATGGAGATTGGAAGGGTATACTTATTAAACCCAGCAACTGCTGTTGGTGACAAGTTTAATCCTGCTAGGAAGGTCTATGAAACACGTGTATGTATGGGTGTGTGTGTGTCTGTGTGTGTTCAGTTGTTCAGTCATGTCCAACTCTTTGCGACCCCATGGGCTATAGCCTGCTGGGCTCCTCTGTCCATGGGATTTTCCTGACAAGAATACTGGCGTGGGTTTCCATTTCCTTCTCCAAGGATCTTCCCGACCTAGAGATCAAACCCACATCTTCTTGCATTGGGAGGCAGATTCTTTCCCACTGAGCCACCTGGGAAGTGCAGGAAACACACGGCTCAGGTTTATCCCACTCAAGGGTGAGGGCACTGAGAAATTCACACACAATCTCCCATCATTGGTTGAACACTGTTGGGAAATGTTAATTTCCTGGTATGTGAAGCCAGACTCAGATGGGAAAAGTGGGATTCGGTGGCCTCAGAAGCACTCAGGTAAAGAAATTCAGGTTCTCGCAGGTAAATGGACAAAGTCAGCTATAAAATGCCTTTCTACTTTTCAACATGATCCTGTTTTGTCTTTGGAATTAGGCCCATACTGCCTTAAAATGTATAAAATACGATGGCAAATGCAAGCTCTTTTGACTATTAAATTATTTCCTTCACTGATTTAAATCAATTGAAATTTTATTTCAAAATTCTAAAATAAATCTGTTTTTTGGCACTGAGCATGGAATTTGTTCAACACAAATCAATATTTTGGCTATTGCAATTTTAGCATTAAAAAGACTTTGATAAATATTAATCACTTGGTGTGGGCTGCTGTGTGCCATGACATGTTATATGTGTGAACTCACTGGAGCTTTAACAAAATCGTGTGAAATGAGTTTTGTTTTCTTTATGTTATACATCCAAGAACTGAGGTTCAGTGAGTTTAAAGTAAATCATCCTGGGAGTTGCATGTCATCTTTCACACAGCTTGTCTTAAGTCCATCTCAAATCCTCCATGAGGAGGAGAAACACGATCCAGTGCATCCAGTGAATGAAATTGCATTTTATACAAGTTATGAACAACCCATGCAACTATTAAAAATGCATAATGAGAAATATTTCCCCTTGCTACTTAGACATTCAAAACTTCTTTTTTAAAAATCAGTTTTATAATTTCAAAATGTTCAGAGAAGAAAGATATGAGAAAAGGAGACCATGAGCAATTTTTCCATTGTACTTAGGCTTGAAAGCTCATTTCAAGGTTAGTCTTCATAGTAACCCACAGCAACACTCCCACAGTTGAACAAGCTGAGTTTATTTCTTTTGGTGATGAGGGAGAATACACACCATGGGCAACCATGGGTTATATGATTAAGAGGGTATTCAAATATGTTGTAGGCTTTGGATTTGAGTTTGATAATTTCTACATTCTAAAGACAGAAAACTAAATGGTATAGTTTAGGCATAATCCTCCTCACAAGTGGTAGCTTTTGTTCCACATAATTTTTTTTAAAGATTTATTTACTTATTTTTGGCCATGGTGGGTCTTCATTGCTGCATGTGGGCTTTTCATTGTGATGGCTTCTCCTGTTGTGGAGCACAGGTTCTAGGCACATAGGCTTCAGTAGAAACAGTGTGCATGCTCACTAGTTGCAGTTCGTGGGTTCTAGAGTGCTGATTCAGTAGTGTGTTATATGGGCTTAGGTGCTCCATGGTATATGGCATTTTCACAGACAAAAGGTCAAACCTGGGTCCCTTGCATTGTAAAGCAGATTCTTAACCACTGGACCACCAGGGAAGTCCCCTGTTCTATATATTTCTAGGAAGCTAACCATCATAAGCTCAGACACCTTTCATTGCCAGTATCTTGAACCAGTGGTTCTCTAAGTATGGTTCCTTGGAACCACCAAATTTACTCCTGGGCATGACCTGGAAACTTTTTACAAATTAAAATTCTCAGGGTCCAGCCTAGATTCACTAAATCAGGAATTCTAGGTTTGGCCATAGAACTCTGTTTTAATAGCCTTCCAAGTGATTCTGATGCTCACTCCGTTGTGAGAATCATTGCTCTAGCCTGTCCCCCATATAATGAGAACAGCAAATGCATGTATATTAAGTGAGGGTATTTTAAAGAGACTGGAATATTAGACCACCTTACCTGCCTCCTGAGAAATCTGTATACTCGTCAAGAAGCAACAGTTAGAACCAGACATGGGACAACAAACTGGTTCCAAATTGGGAAAGGAGTACGTCAAGGTTGTATACTGTCACCCTGCTTATTTAACTTATATGCAGAGTACATCATGCAAAATGCTGGGCTGGATGAAGCACAAGCTAGTCAAGATTGCTGGAAGAAATATCAATAACCTCAGATATGCAGATGATACCACCCTTATGGCAAAAAGAGAAGAGGAACTAAAGAGCCTCTTGATGAAGGTGAAAGTGGAGAGTGAAAAAGCTTGCTTAAAAGTCAACATTCAAAAAGCTAAGATCATGGCATCTCATCCCATCACTTCATGGGAAATAGATGGGAAAACAATGACATTTTATTTTCATGGGCTCCAAAGTCACTGCAGATGGTGACTGCAGCCATTAAAAGACACTTGGTCCTTGGAAGAAAAGCTATGACCAAACCTATTAAAAAGCAGAGACACTACTTTGTCAACAAAGTTCTGTCTAGTCAAAGCTGTGGTTTGACTAGTCATGTATGGATGTGAGAGTTGGACCTTAAAAAAGGCTGAGCACCGAAGAATTGATGCCTTTGAACTGTGGTGTTGGAGAAGACTCCTGAGAGTCCTTTGGTCTGCAAGGAAATCCAACCAGTCAATCCTAAAGGAAATCAGTGCTGAATATTCATTGGAAGGACTGATGCTTGAGGCTGAAGCTCCAATACTTTGGCCACTTGATGTGAAGAACTAATTGTAAAATCTAATGCTGGGAAAGATTGAAGGCAGGAGGAGAAGCGGACAAAAGAGGTTGAGATGGTTGCATGGTATCACCAACTCGATGGACATGAGTTTGAGCAAGCTCTGGGAGTTGGTGATGGACAGGGAAGCCTGGCATGCTGCAGTCCATGGGGTCACAAAGAGTTAGACACAAATGAGCAACTGAACTGAAGTCCAGGTAAACCTAGGACTGGAGTTAACATGGTGTAAAAAAAATATTAAAAAGAAAATAATGAAAAACTGAAATTCCAGAATTTTTTTTAAAAGGGATTGATATTAAAAAAAAATTCAATATAGACTTACTGCAGGCCTCCTAAAGACATTTGGAATAAGATATTTTTAATCAAACACTTCCCTTGTCTCTTTGATGCTAATATAAAAAACATTGTTCACAGAGAAAAAAGTCAAAAACAGGATTATCAAGTAAAATACAGGAGCAGAAAGTAAAGAAACAGAAGAAAGTCTCTACTTTTTATCTGAGTATATTGAGGAGAGATGCCACAGTAGGTTTATCACTCTCTTCCAGCAATAAAGATAAATGTGCTCTCAACACGAGCACAGGTGAAGGCCTGGACAAGGGTCTATCACTCCCTTTTGTGTAGGGAGACAGACCCAAAGCAATTACCTTGACTGGCAGACAGAAGACCAGAAAACGCCAACTCCCTTTGCTGCTACTGGCCAGGCTGTCTGAGCTGCTCCTCTTTTCACTATTACGCCCATATGCACAGATGTTGTAGCTAGATCAGTTTTTATAAACATGCGAATCAATGTGGACTGAGGGGCTGGGCCACTCATGTCAGGGATTTTTTATAAATTAGTTTTAAATTTGAGAGAGTCTACTCTCCTGGACTGGACAAGAAAAAGCGATCTGACTGAACAGTTAGCCAGATAAGCAAAGGGTTCAAGGAATGAGGGATAAGGGCCAGAGACAAATGGAGGAACTGGGAAAAACAGAACAGCTGAACGTGTGCTGACTGCTGATTCTCTACTTTGGGACCTGAAGCCGTGGCTATGCAGCATAGGAAGCGATGGTAAGAACCACCATGAAGGGCTGAGATGTGAGGGCAAAGGCAATGGGCAGGCACGGGCTTCACACGACAGTATGGAATGGAATGAGATGGCATAGGAGAGAGTGGCTTAGAATGGAATAGGGATAGAGGGCAATATATTCAGATAAAGCCTGTGACTAGGAGTAAACTATTTGACCTATCTAGGAATATCTGTTTTCTGACCAACAAAGAGACGTGTAAACAAGTTTCCTTTCAAAATACACTCCAGCTCTCATATTCTGTAATGATGTAACTTCCCTCATGGTGACCTCCCCACAGTCAAACCTAAAATAATTATAGGCCTCCTGACGGCTCTGCCATTTCACTTAGAATGAAACCCGCCCCATGTCCCACAAATCTGCTGTGTCAGCAGATACCTACTTCGCCTCTCCAAATCATCTCAGGTCATTTGTCCTGTTTTACTCTCTTCAGATAGGTGGGCTTCATTCTCTTCCCAGAAAGCCTTAGGGTCTTTGCAGGAACTCTTCCCTCTGACTGGAATGTGCCCCGATAATACTTCTGTAAGGTTGCCTTTTTCTTATGATTCATATCTCATTCTAAATATAATTCCCCACAAATACCCTACATATCAACCCTTTGTAAAACAGCATCTCACCACCCTCAACTCCCAACTAGACTCTATGATTTATTTCACAACATTGGCTTATTTTTAGGCAACTTCTCATGATCTCAAATGAGTTTATTTCTCCATTCTTTGCCTGCCCCAACACCAATGACAATGTAAATTCTAAGAAGTCAGGGGGTTTTTATGTATTGCTCACTACTATATTCTATGTCTAGAAGGGTGTTTGACACAGTAAGTATACAATATTTCTTGATAAATGAATGAATTCATGAATTTATGAATATTTCATGATAAATGGTGTATGATATTATTACATGAGAATGATTTTCTAGCGTTTAATACTCTAGACACTATTACTGTTTCCCAAATGTAGTCAGTCTCCTATATTTTAATTTTATTTTCTACATGTAACTAAAGCCATAATATACCTTTGATATTTAAACATCTGAGTTTAAATATCTGTAAATATCTGTAACATACAGTTAAAGATCTGTACTTAATTCATGTGCATACATTCTGCTCTTAATTACAATATTCACTGAATAATCATATAAACTATATAATAAAGTACATATAATTAATTTCTTACCTTGCAGCAATGATAATAAAAATCATAATAATAATTACTAGTTTGGGGCATCTACTTTGTGTATTACATTAGGACTTTCATGTTTCATCTTTCACATGATTCTGAAAAGCAGGTATTGTGATATCCAGATCACAAACAAGGGAATGAAAGTTCACTGGGTTTATGTGACTTGCGCAAGGTTACACAATTGGCAAGGGGTCAAAGCAGGTTTTAGACCCAAGTGTTTGGCTCTAAAATGATTTTGCTCTGTCACGAGGCTTCAAACCAAACAAATATCTATTAATAGTTCACCTAGGCTAATGTTAAATAATGTGTTATTGCTACTATGTGAAGATATTTATCATTATAGGTGCAAATCATTGAGTGCTCACTCTGAGATAGGCAATTTACTTACATGCAAGCTTTATTTTTCAGTTCATACTTTCAAGTTATGAAATGAGATGATTTACACATGAAAAATAAGAGGATTACACTGACCGCTGAGTTGCCCAGGGCCATACTACAATGCCATTGTGTAGATTCAATTACCTGGCTTCACCTGCAAGTCCTTGGTCCTAAATCAATGTTATCTATTTTATCTTACTGATTCAAGAGAAGCTCATGTAAATACAGTCTTTCATCCATATTAAAGACCATCAGCTGAAATATTTAGTACTGCCAAATTGTAAGAAACCCCTTTAAAGCACAAAATTAACAAAGCCTATTGACATTTTCAACTGTCATTTCACCAACACTTTGACACTTTTCCAGTTTGAATTTGCATCAGCTAGAAACATCTGATATGAGTAGCTGAGTCTAATCTCTTAATAGTACATAATTTCAAGGGGATAATGTTCCAAACTGTGATTATCAATATTTATGTTTTTACCACAATACATAAAATTAATAAATAAAAAGTTTAAGCATTCTATACAATGCATATCAAAGTTGAAGCTAAATTAATCAAAAAGCAACCTCTACTATTAAACCAAGAAAAGAGCAGACTGTGCAGAATCACAATTTATCTGGTTTCTTTTACCTTCATCTCTTCAACTGCTGTCTGTAATTCATCTGGGGTTTTATATTCAAAATCTCTCTCTAGGTATTCTTCTTCAGCTTGTGTCATCCATTCATGCATCTCTGACAAATCTTTCTGAAGGCTTACAGTTTTATCCAAGCCTGCCTTTAAGGCCTCCTTTCTGGCATAGACCTTCCATAAAACAAACCAATAAGTAAAGCATGAATACTGAAAGTCATAAAACATTATCATTATACTATTATTGACGAGTCTGTAAATAATAGAAAGCTTGGAAAAGATGAAGCTAGAAGTAAATAGCTTGCATGAAAGAGGAAAATAACTCATGGCAATTGGATACACTTAATTTCACATAAGTGTTAAAATAAGATATAAGCATTTACTTGGCATAATGAACAGATTCCCCTAAGACCACAATTTAGCTGTTGTATATGGTAATTCATTTCTGCAAATGGAGAGTAAAGAAAAACATTTTTTCATGATACGTTTCAGTTGGAAAACTGAATTTATTGGCATACATAGAAGTAGAAATTCTTTGCACTCTTTGATGCCATTTTATAATTTCAAATATCCCAGGAATTTAATAATCATATACCTATAGAAAACTCTCATAAAAAAGGAAAATGAATAAAATATACAGTCATGTAATTCACAGAAATAAAATTAAAATGAGGCCATATATATGTGAAAAGATGTTCAGTATCATTTATAGTTAAATAATAGCAAATGAAGTTAAATTAGTATATTTTCAAATATGAGATTAGATAAAAGCCTAATTAGAATGCCAGGTTTGAATAGGGATGTGGGAAAACAAAGGTTTCATACCTGTTGAAGGAAATATACACCACAGTAAAACCTTTTAGACAGTAAACTGGCAAAATGCATTAAATGCCTTAATGGTCATCCGTTTGAGCCTATTCTCCCACATATAAAACGATGTGTACATAGTTGCATGTACACTATTTAATTCAGCTTTGAAGGTAGCAACATATTGAAAACGAACCCAAAGGTGCTTTCATGGAAGATTAGTTAAAGAAATTGTGGGATACAGGTGTACACATACAGAATGGGATATCATGGAGCACTGATGCATCTGTACTGAAGCGAAAACTGTCTAGTATATAATTTTACATTAAAAAAGGTGTAAAAAAGCATGTGTGACAGGAGACTCTTGCTTTATAAAGTCTCATATATTTCTGTAATACTAACTTTATAACAGAGTGTATTACTTTTTAACTAGAAAGATAGCAAAACTTAAAATACCCAAGAGATCACGCATGTTAATAGCTTATTCAAAGTACTCTGCTGTAGCACACTGAGGGAAAATTTCAATTTAGTATTAGAATAATGATACATAGTGCATCTCTTTTACCTTAAAAAATAACTCTACTCAAATGATGTTATTCTTCTCTCTGGGATTAAATAGAATGTATCTTTTAAATAATACAGCTGTAATTTAAAGTCTTAATATAAAAGGCATAGTTTTAATAAAACAACATTTTCATGGTACTTTACCAAATATAAAATATATGCAGTACCATGTTCATGTTAATTTTTCTTATACTTTACAACTACCTTAAGCCTAATGTAGTTAAATTAAAGCTACTTAAAGAACTTTACTCTCCTAGGAGAAAGTAGAACTTGACCTATTGAAATATATGTTTCATTATAACACAGCTAGAACCACATATCAAACAATTATACTAGTTAAAGTACAAAGATGATTTTGCATAGTCAATGAACCTATAATAAGCCCAAGTAAACAAGCTGTTAAATTTCTACTTGGATATTCTGCTATAATCTTTGGAGGTGGTTGGCACAGTGGCAATAATATTAGAATGACTAACAAAACTTAGCCAAAGACTTGTAGCAAAAAACTATATATATATAATGCATGCTATAAAACGAAACCAGAAGAAAGGGATCAGGAGTGATTTTAAAAGGAAAGAAAAGTAGGAAGTCATTTTGAAGTGACAGAATGAGTGCACTGGAAAGAGCACCAGCTTTGGAATCAGGATACCTGGAATCAATCACTAACAAGCTAAGTGAATCTGGAAACATCACTCCATTTATCTCCACTTCTTAACTAACCTAAAAGTTGGACTAGATGATTTCCAAGGTCTTTTCCAAATTTAACATTCTGCTCTACATCTGATCAGAAAGAGATGAATTTTTTGTGGTTTCACATTTTAGAAGGATTTCTGTGAAAAGGTTGAGGTTAAAATCATACTTTCTCCTTCACCTTTATTACCTGAGTAATGCCAACTGTCTAGCCTGAAATTGCCCAGTCCACCCCTGCAGTTTCAGCAGATTACACTGCATCAACTGCTTTATAAAACAGAAAGTTCTTCATGTTTCCTGTTCCAGAATTTGTAAATCTAACATTCAGCACTGCCCAACCCCACTCCACTCCCCCACAACCTTTGTTAAGATACAATTGATCTAAAATGCTGTTTAAGGTATATACACCTACTGTGAAATGATTACAACAAGATTAGTCAATGTCTTCATCATCACACATAATTACCATTTTTCTTTTTATTATGAAAACATTAAAGATTTACTCTCCTAGCAAGGTTCATATGTAGAGAAATTATAGAATACTTTATATAATATAGAATTGTCAGCTATAGTCATCATATTGTAAATGGGCTATGTATGTGCTTAGTCACTCAGGTGTGTCTGACTTTGCAGGCCCATGGACTGTAGCCTGCCAGGCTCCACTGTCTGTGGAATTTGAGATCCCAAGGACTCCCTCATCATAAATGAGAAGTCTGTGCCACTTAACCAGAATCTCTTCATCTCCCTCACTCTCTAAGCCCTAGTAATATCCATTCTACTCTCTTGAGTTTGACTTTTTTAGATTCCATGTTTAACTGAGATAAGACTGTATTTGTTTTTTTCTATCTGGTTTATTTCACCTAATATAATACCCTCAAGTTTCATCCAGGTTGTTGCAAATCACAGGCTTTCCTTCTTTCTCAGAATAATACCCCTTTGTCTATATGTATGTATATATGTGTGTATGTATATATGTATACACACACATACACACAAACACACACTGAATCTTCTTTATGTGTTTCTCCCTGACCAGCACTTAGGTTGTCTCCTTATCTTGGCTATTGTGAGTAATGCTGCAATGAATTTGGGTGTACAGACATCTCTTTGAGAAATTCTGATTTTGTTTCCTTTGGAAATATACCCAGAAGTGGGAGTGCTAGACCCTCGGGCAGCTCTATTTTAATTCTGAGGAATCTCCATACAGGCTCCACGGTGGCTGTATTGTGTGTATGCTGGAGGCTGCAGGGCAGGATGCTCTAGGGTAAAATTATAAAGACGCTACTGCTAGAGACATTGTCTAGGTTATGAAGCTGGGAGTGGGTGGCTGAGGCAGGGTAGAAGATGAAAATCATTGGAGTGGATTTTAAGTAAGCGAGGGCTCAGGAATGGGAAGAACCATCTAAGAAGATACTGAAATCACCCAGAATTAGGACAGGAATAACAGTGAGTTAGGTGTTAAATATGTAATGAATGAGGCAGAGTGACCCAGGGGTCTGTGGATGACTGAACCCAAAAGATGTACTGAATCAGAGAAAGATAATGATCTGCAAGGTGCCAGAATGGCACCCGCCTTGACACTCAATCCAGTGTTTCTTGGTAACTCTAAGTTTAGAGTCACCAATAATTAAAATATATATCTATACATTATTTAGAAATTACACATATTTTATAATTTTATATATGCAGCTTTGTGTCTATTTCATCTCTTGTTTATTTTATTGAACAAGTATGTACATAGTGGTTACTCTGTGCTAGATATAGAACTAAAAACCACTGCAATGATGTAAAGTAATTAGCCTCCAACTAATAAAAATAAATGAAAAAAAAAGAACTACATACCTTATACACACAAATTCATTTAACTATAGAAGAATGTTAAAATTCTTATAAAGTAAGTAGTAATATCATCACACTGTAAAGACTGGGAAACTGAAGTGCAGAGATAAAGCGACTTTGCCAGGCTCACAGAGGTAGCTTATGGTGGGGGCAAGATCTAAACCCAAGCAACCTGGTCCAGAGCCTCTGCCCTTACACATTGTTTGCCTCTCCATCCACAAGGAAGTCTTCCCCATCCATAAGAGTTCTTATTTCATCTAATTTAGCAAAAAATTCAGAGGGAGGGTGGGTCTGACAAATTCTTTCATTGTCAGATAGGAGTTACATAGATGTTATCTTTATTTCTCTGCATATAGTTTATATGCTCAGTTTAAATACCCCACTTGGATTCCAGATGCATTTTGACTGTATACGCCTCCAAAATAAACATGACCAAAGTAGAAGCACTGATCATTCTACCAAGCTGGTCAATTATGTTTCTCCCTTAGCACACAGTTTTTCCTTCTTTCATAGAAGGTGTGGTGTCCAACAGTGTTGCTCAAAACAGAAAACTCTGACTATGCTTTGATCCCTCCCTCCCTGCCACCCTGAACTTTCCACAAGCCTTATCTTTCATCAAGTACTGCCATTTCTAACGGGGTCTAATAAAACATAAAATCAAGAAAGGAATTGTGTTGTTAGCAGTAAGAGTAATGATTGTGGAAGTGAGTGTGAAAGCCCCGATCAAAAATGCAACAAGGAAGAACTTGCCTAATTGGTTAGAAGAAACAAGAAATATAAATGATCACATTGAGTGGAATAAGCTTGCTGGAGGTGGCCAGAAGTACAGAGTTTCTACAAAGTTTGACTGACACAAGCACTTTGGTTCAGGTTGCCTAGAATAACACACCCCCTTCCTCATGCTACTCACTGTATAATGGGAAAATGTACATAAAAACAAGAAACAGTAATGAATCACAGCAACAAGAAATCAAATCACTTCTGTCTCTGTGGAAGAACTTGGAAAATTATTGGAAGAGGTTTGGACAGTCAACCAAACACAGAGTCACAAGAGGATTATACATTTCAAATTTCTTTGTGTCTCTCAATCTCCACTAATATTCCCCCTGTTATTCGCCAGTATTATTTCCTACCTGAAAACTGTAATTCCTACATGCTTCCACTCGTGCCCTTCAGTCTTTTCATATAAGAGGAATATATAGCAAATGTTTACATGATGCCACTCCTATACCTAAACGTCTAATAGTTCCCCATTGTACTTTGTATGAATAGTAAATCCTCACTGTGCTTTATAAGAAAATTAATGACTGTTCTTTCCCATCCATTTTCGCATAAAGATTTTTTTTTGCTATTGTTTCCTCCCTTGCTCTAAATAAATTGGTGCTGCTCTTTCTATTCATCCATTAAAAACATTCAACAAACAAATCCTTTTCATACTGGCCTTCCAGGAAAACATCAATGACATAATCTATTCTCTAAGTAATATTATTTTTTTTCCTTAACATCCCTTCTAGAACCGACTTAATCCAGAAGAAGAATGCAAGCTATCTGACCCCGGGCTATCTCATCCGTGAGTTAATAGAACAGTTGAGCATTTGTCAGTGATGGTATTAGCTGGGTGACTTGCCTTGACTTTTCCTCGGCTCAATTTCTTTCTTTTTCAAATTTAGTTTTTGCCTTTTGGCATGATTTCTTTTCAACTTTGAAAGGTTACTTAGAAATAACGAAAGACTGACTGGCTCTAATACACATAAAATGAAACCTCTCATTAACTTCAAAAAAGGTATTGGTGTATTAAAAAGTAATCATTGCTTTAGGTCAAAATTTCACTTTTGAACCAGAAGTATTTGATGTATGCTACTTGTATGTAATATTTACTCTTCTGCAATTTAATCTTGAAATTGGAAATAAATATCTATAAAACACTCTTCCATATAAAAATGAGGAACTCAGATATGAATGTACATTTATCTTATATTTTTTTCTACTATGCTGTTCTCAACTATTTCCCAATCTTAATCCATCTATTGAAAGAGATGTTTGAAGAAGCCAAACTCATCAATCTTACAATCAAAAGAGAAACATATTTATATTTGTACATATGAATGTTTTACTCATTCATTTTATTTCTGTATCAAGTATAGAATTGTAAACTATCTTTGTTGATCCAATTACATGTATTAAGTTATGCAGTCTTTTGGAGAAAAGATTCAAGAAAAATAATGCCTAAGAAAAGGGCTTTATTATTCAGAATGACGGCTGTATTCAATAAGATCATTTTAGGACTTCCAATAAGATGAATACACACTATTTAAATATATACTATGAAAATAATTTATATGCTAGACAAAGGCTAGTTTTACTTAACCATGCTTTAAAGCATCAACACAGAGACTGAACTTTTTAAAAGGTCCATGGTGAAGGGAGACATTAAGAAATCATAATTAAAATGGAGCAAGCCAACGTAAAAGAGATGGGACATACCTGTCGACATATGTAATCCCATTGAGTGTTCAGTTCTCTGAGCTCTGTCTCCAGTCTAGAAGCAAACTCTGGTTCTGCTTCAGTTTTTATTTTCTGTCCACCTTCATTGACACTGTTTAGACTGGGCTGGATTGTCTGAATATCACTGACTAAAAGCTAAGGAAACAACTCAATTTAAGTTAGCTGAAAAAATTACCACAACAATTAGAAATGCAACATAGCTACAAAGAAACATATAATTAGGAATCATGACACTACACATGAATTTTTCCCTTTAAAATCTGAAATATATACTACAAAAAATGTTCCTTTTTTATGGTATGAATGAAATGTGGAATTATATATCTATAGTCTACTTAGATTAGCTACAAAAGCAAATAAACTGAATACTTCATGTTCAAAAACAATGCAACAATGATGAGCTTTATAAATTACTATTTTTGAAGGAGGTTTGATTTCCAACATAGTATGTTGCAGCAGTTTATAGCAAGATGCTGTGAAGGTTATTGATAAAATGGTTTTGCTTTTAAAGCTTTTATTCACAAAGAAAGTTCTTGAAAGAGCTAGATTTTTCTCCTCCCACTGCATGACAATGGCATGATAAAAATTATTTCAAAATACATGTCTCTTACTACAGTGTGACATACATGGAAAGAGCAACACAGTTTTAATGACAATCTGTAATAAGATATAACAAGTAGCTCAAAAAACATCATTTACCTTTAGCTTAAACTGCATGCTATATCAAAATAATATTGTAAAGTGAGTGTTGAATAAAAGACAATATTTTGTCTATTTCTCTCTTATTTAGCCCAGTTTCTCAACCTTGGCACTACTGTCCTTTTGGATGGGGTAATTCTTTGTTGTGCGGTGCTGTTCTTTGCATTGTAGGATATTAAGATATGCCCCTGGCCTCTATCCACTAGAAACCAACAGCATCTACCCCACCTCAAGTTGAGACAAATGAAAATGTCTCCAGACATTGCTAAATGTCCCCTAGGGGGACAAAATCGCCCCTGGTTCAGAACCATTGATATCATTAAATAATAGTTTCCATATCAAAGTCTTCATATAAAGAAGTGTCATATAAAAATCTTACCCTGCACTGCTTGAGCTGTTTTTTAAGAATTTCTGAATCTCCAAGGGCAGGCCATTCCTCTTTCAAGAAAACATCAACTTCAGCCATCCACTTCTTCAAGGTTTTTATGTGATTCTGGAATCAGAGACCCATTTTAACACATTATTGGGGTGCTGATTTCCCTCGACACAATTCATCATGGTGATATGTTTGAACACAAGCCCGCGAACAATTCCCATGGTTGAAGAATATCTCTAAGTAGCTCTTCAGGAAAAGAATATTTCCACTAAGACTGCATTTTTATGGTCTGCTCTATGAGCACTGGCGTATGAAGTCTGCTATTGTTAAAAATAAAAAATTACTACCAAATGTGGTTTTATGATGTTACTCTTGAGAACATTAAATCATATCCCCCTCTAGAGAAATTTTAAGTTACAAAACAACTCATGATAATACTAACAATGTGCCCTTACAGTACATAAAACAAACTATGAACAATAAACTCAATGTAATGGTGTCTTTATAGCCTCCCTAAACCTGAACTTCCACAAATTGTTTTCTACAGTTGACAGTTTAAATAGCCCCTCCAGCGGAGAACTTTCAGACCAAGATGTTGTCATCTTTAAAGAAAGAAAACTTGTGCTTTTAATTTCTGATTTGCTTGACCAAGTTGACGTAATGATCAAATGGAAAATGTCATCTTTATTCATTTTTAAATAGCCAAGTACATCCCATTATTTTTTTTTCACATAATGCCATTTTTCTGGCTCCTTTTAGGGGTACATTTCAAGTGTGTGGTTTGCCAAACTTCTTTATCTGTCTACAATTCAACTATGCTATCCAGATGTGCTATTTTGTCCTTTCTTAATTAGATTTCTATTGAAAATGTGTGTTTCTCAGAAATTTCCCTCTTCAATACAACAAATAATAATGACTTTAAAAGCATCTGACTAAATCTAAAGCCTTCAACATTATTATCTGGCTGACATTTCCTGAATCTAGCTTTGCTCTTTGGCCCACATCGCCACTCTCCTAGATCAGATCTCACCACTGCCTCTTTGACAACTACATTAGCTCTTTCTGGTATCTACTTCTGTCTCACCCTACTCTAACCCATTCTCCCCAGTGGTACCAATATTCTTCTCACCTCCTTCTTCTTCTCAAAGTGATGTTTAAAAAATATATTATTTCATCTCCCTCCTCTTGAAGTACCAATAATAGTTCTACATTGTCATTATGTTAATCCCATCATGGTTAGATTATAATTCATATTCCAAAGCATGGCATCCAACTCATTACTGATCTGCCCTCAGACTACTTCTCCAATCACCTCTTTTATTAATCTCCAGGCACATCGTTTATCTCTCCAATATTGAACAACTTTCAGTTAATTGAACATGCTGCTTCATTTTGTCAGGAACTCTTTCTCCATCTTTTATTAGGTGCCTAAATTCTACATATTCCAGGTGTAGTCAGATAACTCATATCCCAAGAACAAATCATAACTCCTTTTCCCAGTCTGTGTTGCTTTTCTTCTCTTTCCACTGTCATGCTCACTGCACTGTTTTACTACTTACCCTGACAGGTTAAACAATGACCCTTCGAGATTTCAGGCCCCCATCCCTGGAAGCTGTCAATATGGTGCCTTACATGGCAAAAAGGAATTTGCAGATGTGATTAAGTTAAGGATATCAAGATAAGGAGATGATCCTGGGTTATCCAAATGGGCACAAAATGATCAAAGATCCTTATTAAGATAGAGGCAGGAGTATAAGAGAGAAATTGGGAGGTGCTACACTCCTGGCTTTAAGGATGAAGATGGAAACATGAACCAAGATTGTAGTTTCCCAAAACTAAAAGTTCAGTTCAGTTCAATTCAGTCACTCAGTTGTGTCTGACTCCTTGTGACCCCATGAATCGCAGCATGCCAGGCCTCCCTGTCCATCACCAACTCCCGGACTTTACTCAAACTCATGTCCATCGAGTCGGTGATGCCATCCAACCATCTCATCCTCTGTTGTCCCCTTCTCCTCCTGCCCCCAATCCCTCCCAGCATCAGGGTCTTTTCCAATGAGTCAACTCTTCACATGAGGTGGCCAAAGTACTGGAGTTTCAGGTTCAGCATCAGTCCTTCCAGTGAGCATCCAGGACTGATCTCCTTTAGGATGGACTGGCTGGATCTCCCTCCAGTCCAAGAGACTCTCAAGACTCTTCTTCAACACCACAGTTCAAACGCATCAATTCTTTGGCGCTTAGTTTTCTTCACAGTCCAACTCTCACATCCATACATGACCACTGGAAAAACCATAACCTTGACAAGATGGACCTTTGTTGGCAAAGTAATGTCTCTGCTTTTTAATATGCTATCTAGGTTAGTCATAACTTTCCTTCTAAGGAGTGTCTTTTAATTTCATGGCTGCGATCAGTATCTACAGTGATTTTGGAGCCCCCAAAATAAAGGCTGACACTGTTTCCACTGTTTCCCCATCTACTTCCCATGAAGGCAATAAATTTCCTCCTAAAGCCTCCAGAAAGGACACAGCCCTGTCCATACCTTGATTTTAGCCCACTGAGCCTGACATTGAACTTTTGATACCCAGAACTACAATATATGTGTGCTGTTTCAAGCCATTAAATTTACAGCAACTTATCACAGCAGCAATAGGGAATGGATACACTCACCTTTCTCCTTCACCAGACATGGGCTCCTTGATGGCAAGGACCGCATAACTGTACCCTCTTCTGCCACGAGCTCAGGCAAAAATGTGTTTTTATATGTGTGTGTATGTGTATGCATGTACGCATATGTTCATACATCGAGAAACATTACTGGAGATGTTGTGTTTTTAATAATAATTAAAACTGCTGGGTCTTTTGGTTTGTGAACGGTAAGAAAAAACAACCAAGTAGCTGCACTGGGAATTAAATTCAGAAGTGTGCTATTCTGATGCTTTTCCATCATGCCATGATGCTTTCAAGCTTTTGGCCAGCATTAACATTTTTTGCAATAATTTACCACATAAGAGAGATATCACCTGCATCACCAGATGTTTTAAACTTTAGACTACAGTGCAATTGTTGGTTTACTAATGCTTGGGTAATTAGGTGGCACTATTCAAACAAATTAAGTCAGTAGAAGTTGGTTTGTGTAAGGTGATGGGATCAAATTTATACATAAAATTGCAAGTGAAATATGCTGGTGAAATTATGTGACCATATTACCTGGCAGATAACTTTATTTGGTGGTGGTGGTTTAGTCGCTAAGTCATGTCTGAATCTTGTGACACCATGGACTCTAGCCCCACAGGCTCCTCTGTCCATGAGATTTTCCAAGTAAAAATACTGGAGTGGGTTGCCATTTCCTTCTCCAGGGTATCTTGCTGACCCAGGGACCGAAGCCACATCTCCTGGGTAGAGGCAGATTCTTTAGCTCTGCATAAACAGGGAAGCTCCTTCACCCATTATATATATGTAAACAAACAGATTCAAGGGGTTAGGTCTGATAGACAGAGCCTGAAGAACTATAGACAGAGGTCTGTAACATTAGACAGGAGTAGTGATCAAAACCATTCCAAAGAAAAAGAAATGCAAAAAGGCAAAATGCTTGTCTGAAGAAGGCTTACAAATAGCTGAGAAAAGAAGAGAAGTGAAAGGCAAAGGAGAAAGGAAAGATATACCCATCTGAATGTAGAGCTCCAAAGAATAGCAAGGAGCGATAAGAATGCCTTCCTAAGTAAACAATGCAAAGAAATAAAGGAAAATAATAGAATGGGAAAGACTAGAGATTTCTTCAAGAAAATTAGAGATACCAAGGGAACATTTCATGCAAAGATGGGCTCAATAGAGGACAGAAATGGTATGGACCTAACAGAAGCAGAAGATATTAAGAAGAGGTGGCAAGAATACACAGAAGAACNACTAAGTTGTTTCTAACTCTTTTGCAACTCCACGGACTGTAGCCCTCCAGGTTCCTCTGTCCGTGTGATTTCCCAGGCAAGAATACTGGAGTGAGTGGCCATTTCCTCCTCCAAACTGCCCCACACCAAGCAGTTAATGGATGGCAGAGTTGTATTTGTACCCAGATTGGCTCCAGAAATCTGTGCTCCTAGGAGCATTCCTTGTAACATTAGGAGCAAATCAATTACTATATTATATAGCCTGTGATTTTAGGCTTCCCAGCCTCTGTGGTACAAGAAGTCAAGCTAGAAAGAGGGGGAGGGTAGGTATTGAATGAGCCCTTTTACACCATTTTGCACAGGCACTGGTCTAATTTTTTCAAAGGCTACTTGGTTTTTGCAGTGGTCATGTATGGATGTGAGAGTTGGACTATAAAGAAAGCTGAGCGCCAAAGAATTGATGCTTTTGAACCATGGTGTTGGAGAGGACTCTTGAAAGTCCCTTGGATTGCAAGGAGATCCAACCAGTCCATCCTAAAGGAACTCAGTCCTGAATGTTCATTGGAAGGACTGATGCTGAAGCTGAAACCCTAATCCTTTGGCCACCTGATGCAAAGAACTGACTCACTGCAAAAGACCCTGATACTGGGAAAGATTGAGGGCAGGAGAAGGGGAGAATGGAGAATGAGATGATTGGATGGTATCACCGACTCAATGGACATGAGTTTGAGCAACCTCTGGGAGACAGTGAAGCACAGGGAAGCCTGGCGTGCTGCAGTCCATGGGGTCCCAAACAGTTGGACACAACTGAAAAACAATAGCAAATATACACACACACACATATATCCACTCGGCAAATTCTTTACCACTGAGTCAACAAGGAAGTCACCCAGCTCTAGATAATGTGTCACAATTAAAGCCGACATATGTAAGTTAGCCTGTGTGTATATATGTGTATGTGTGTGTATGTGTGTATATGTATATTTATATATATTTTACAACCCAAATAACAATGCAGCTATTTTTCTGGAAAAAAAATTTTCCTGCACTGCAAGCAGTCTCCTGCATCATCCATGGGATTTTCTAGGCAAGAATACCAGAGTGGGTTGCTATTTCCTTCTCCAGGCACCAGGGAAGCCTTATTCATAAGCTAAATAATTATTTAGAGGATAACACGACTAAAAAGAAGATTGGTTTTGAAAATTATTGAGCTGAAAAGTTTTTTAATTCCCATTGTTATTGATGGGAAAAAAGCTAATTCTAAAGAAAATCAAAGAAACAGAACTCTTAATGCTTACTTAAAATTAATAGGCAAACTATTGTCCTTCGAGACAAATTTGTATCTTTTGGCCTTATCACTGACTTTAAGGGACTATGTCTTTTAATTATATAACTCATCATTAGGAGAGAAACAAATAAAAATCAATATAAAAAGTAAAATCTTGAATTACCTGAAGTTTTCGGAGTTTGGCCATTTGCTCCTCTAGCTTTTGGCAACGTTCAACCAGCTGGGCAGAGAGTTTTTTCCATCGACCCTCAATGTCTTCAAATTCCGACTGATATCTCTGGCTTATATGAGAGGGTGCTTTCCTTGACATCTCTTTCACAGTGGTGCTGAGATAGTTTAGGCCATTTTGGTGCTCTTGCAGAGAACTTTGTAAAGCCTCAAAATTAAAAAGAAAGTGCCTTTATACTAATTGATGAATATTAATGAGTTTAATTGTTCAATTTCATTGATGAGTTTCAGACAAATCAAGTGTACTTAAAATGAAAGCTATGTGGCTCAAACATTTAAAATAATAAATGATATAACATCAGATGTTTAATTAGCAACTTAAAATCTATTTTCAATCATAAGGGTAATTTACACATTATTCAGTAATATTGTATTTAAAAATTTATGCCTATTCTTATCAACAAAGTGGAATATATACAAAACTGTATCTTATTGAAACAAAGAGCTTTAGCTCATCTAATTTTATTACATTTTATTTGTATATCAATAACTGTATTTATGATTCAATTAATGGAGTTTAACTTAATTATAAGTAAACTTAACTATAAACCTTTAGTAAGATAATTTCTCGTCTTCATAGATAAAAATATAACTAAATAAGATTGATATATGTGATAACACAACTCTGAATAAGTTAAATCATATAGATAGCTTACTCATGCCAGTTAATGGAAGTTTCTTATTCTTCAAAAGGCAGTGTTCTGTTTTGTAGTATCACAGTGAAATATTCAGATAATTTTGGGGAGAATTTACAAACTTCATTTCACATTTGTACTGTATACTCTATTCCACCCCTTATAATATGATGCATACGTTTAGGATTGCTCTATTCAGTATTTATTTAAATGTTACTTTCTGGTTATAAACTAATAAAGGTTTAAGATTTTAAAATGGGCAAAAATACCCATTACATACAATTGTTTTCAGATAAAAGTTCCAGGTTTTTTTTTTAACTGAATATCTGATCATATGTTATACTCACATACACATAATTATGTAAAACACAATCTTATGGTTGCATAATGTTTATTTTGTGATATGGAAGTTATTTTAAATTCATTGTTAATTTATTAAACTTTTAACGCTTGATTATTTACACAATACATAGTATGCACATACATTTTGAGCTAAGCAATTTATTGTGAGCCTTTTCCCAAGTCATTAAGTAATTTTCAAAAACATAGACTTAAATTGCTTCTGTAGTTCTTTTAACCATTTTTCATTATTACTTGTATAAATTAATTTTAACCTTTCCACTCTCTTAAATTATGTTTATGATCTATTTATCTATATCTCTATGTATTTAGATCTGGAAAGTTTTCCTTGGCGAAATTTTCATTCAATTGACAGTCCCATCAGTAAGTGAGAATGTAGTTCATTGCTGCCACAACTGCACTTACTATGTGCTAAGTCACTTCAGTCGTGTCCGACTCTTTGTGACCCCATGCACTATAGCCCGCCAGGCTCCTCTGTCCATGGGATTCTCCAGGCAAGAATACTGAAGTGGGTTGACATACCTTCCTCCAGGGGATCTTCCCAACCCAGGGATCGAACCCACAGCTCTTATGTCTTCTGCATTGGTAGGTGGATTTTTTACCACTAGTGCCACCTGGGAAGCCCCTATACTTACTATAGCTTTCAGTTTTCTTTCTTATTTCTTTTTGTTCTTCCAACTTAGTATGTAAAAGATAGTATCTCACTTTGCCAATTTGTTCTACATCCTTACAATTTTTTTTTAAATTATAGTTGATTTAAACTATTAGTTTCAGGTGTTCAAAACATTAACTCGTGTTAGTAGATGATACTTCATTTAGTTAGAGAATACAGGCTCTATTCCCTGTGCTGCACAAGATATCCTTGTATCTTATTTTACACATGATAGTATGTACCTCTTAATCTTTTACTCCCATTTTGCCCCTCTCTCCTCTGGCAACCATTGGTATATTCACTATATCTGACTCTGTTTTCTTGTATTCATTTATGTATTAATTTATTTTTGCAATTTCATATGTAAAAATGATATCCCATTTTGTAAATTTGTACATCCTTTTCAATTTGAGTTACAATTTTTCATAGGAATAATAGTCATAATTTTTTTTTTTGGTGACTACCTCATTAATGACTTATTCAGACAGATGTTTTTCTTCTTTTGTTTTTCTTTAAGATTGGCTCTGGTACTTTTACAATGTTGTGATTGCTTCCACTGATTTCTGTGCTTCCCCATCATATATTTGTAGAGTTTTATTAAAATTTTCTACAAAATTTATGACTGTTAAAGTGTTTTTGAAATTTTAATCTACGTAGTAGTTTGTTTTGATGTAACATTTGACACAAGGTTCTGACTTCATTGTTTTCAGTAAGTTAATAAACTTATTTTCCCAATAATAGTTATAAATAATTTTCCCTTCATCACTGCTTTATGAATGGAAATATACTCTTCCATTTATCTGTGTACCATTTCTCATATACTTAACCCACTCCCCTAATTGCTATACCTGTGTACTGCTATGTTCTTTTACATTTATAGTTCTATTAAGTCACATAAGTCTCAAAGTAAATTTTAAAATTATTCCAGGTGTTGCAAATAACAACACAAAAAGGAAAAATGATTAAACAGTTATAGTTTGTTTTGTATTATAGTAGAGGAAATAGTTTAATTAGGATGATGTATACTGGGAAATGTTTAAAGATTTCTTTGAAGAAATACTTCTAAAATTAATGTTTTTTAGTAAATAATATTCAATTCCCAAAACAGAACTCCTGATACAACAAAGTTAAAGTTTTAACTTGTTTTCTTAATTCAGAAAACGTGGACATATTATCTCAGCTCTTAAATTATAATACACAAATGTGTTTCAATGCCTTACAAAATAAAATGTGATTAGATATACACCACAGGTTTTTTAGAATTAGTAGGAAGGCATCCTAAAATTGCATATGAATTACATCTTTCATTTCCAATATTAGCATTTTATTTCCTAATATAAAACTGTTAAAATACAGTTAATAGAACTCCAAAAACTAATTACAATATTACATCAAATGAGTTTAAATTAAAACTAATTTTAAAACTACATTAATTTTACCACTTGCTGGTTGGAAATATGAGCTATAAATCAGCAAGCAAAGGGGAGGAAATAATACCAGAGCTTTTATAATAATCAAAATCTGTGTTTCTGAAAATACACACTGAGCAAGAAAGAATATATTTCATGAGTACATCATATCATTGTCTTCAAAGACAGAATCTTTATCTTAAGGAGAGAGTCACAAATACATTAAATATTATGCTTTTACAGCCTTCATTTTTTCAGCTGGCCAACTGTCATACTTGCCACGATTATTTTAATTCTAGTATTGTATTAAGGTTATAACAATGTGACTGCTTGATAGATGAGCAAGACTTGAGAGATGTATCAAGATTTTTAAAAAGTCACAGACCTGTAACTCCTCAAGTCTCTGCTCCATGATCTCGTATTCCGTGACAGTAACCTGAGGTATAGAGAGTTTGGTTTCTGACTGTTGGATCCACGTGAGGATGGTACTCATGGTCTCCTGATACCGCACGGTGGGTAAAGTGTCCAAAACTTTATTGAAAGGGAAAAACACAGAGAAACATTTAACCATTTAAATTGTTGTCATTTGTCTTTCTACATTGCCAGAAAACTCAATCATACTAATTACAAATATTAACAAAATGTGAAAATCTGAAAATACAGAGTAGAATATGATTATGACAGAAACTATGCAAGTATGACATTTAATCTTGCAAGATCTGCATGGTTAAATTAATGCTTTTTAAGGTGAGGAAATGGAGCAACAGAGTAACCTGTCCAAAAATGGAGCAACAGAGAGGCTGAGTAATTTGCCCAAGGTGACACAGATAATACAAGTAGAGTTCATGTATATTTGACCTCTTTCTGTATTATTTGCCTTGGGGGAAAATAGTACCATTATCAACAGCAGGGGATATTTTAAATTATATCATTTCATATCTTATTTACTAAAGAAACAATTTCTGTGTGCTCAGTGTGTGTCAGAAACCTTAATAATGATGACACATATTATGATTCTTAATTCTTACAATAAACCTCTGAGACATGCATTTTTATTCCATTTACATTTGAGGAACCAAGGTTATAAAAGAGGGCCAACTGATTTGCTCACAAACATCTAGTAAGTGTCATAGCCAGGATTTTCAGCCAAGATTATTTAATTTCGAAGTCAAACCCACCAACAAACAATGCATTTTCTCTAACATGTGTATATATATGTATACACACATACATTCATTTCAATTATACATAAAATAAGGGAATAAAAGTATATATGGGAAAGTATAATGTGTGCATTGTATATCGTTATATATGCTTAAAATCTAAAATGCATATGTTTATATATATTATTTATCACTATATATTATTTTCTATTTTATACACACACCCATACAGATTATGTGACTGTATTATATTGACCATGTTCCAGGTGGAGAATTTTGTTAGAAAACTGGAAATGATAAAAATAATTTTAAGTGGTTTAAGGAGGATAAAAAAGAAATTATACTAAACATGCAATAAGTGAAAAGTAACAAAACAGTGGATGGATTTCAAAGCAGATTAGACAAAGCTAAACAGAGAATTAGTAAATCTGAAGATAGGCCAGAAATAAATTATATATACATACATATGTATATATATATATATATATATATATATATATATGGAATGAAGCATGGAGGGACAAAAGAACAGAAAATAAAGATGAGAGAATAAAAGACATAGAAAAAAACAGCAAAATGAACATAAATGTATCCCAAAATCACAGAGAGAGATGTGGTTCAGGAGCCATATTTGAAGAGATAATGGCTGAGAATTTTCCTAAATAGATAAAGCCACAGTGCAAAATACTATCTCAAATCACTAGAGCAAATGGCATTATTTAAATCATATTATTTTTAACATAGCATATGGATTTCATTTCTATATACCAATTCCTTCTAAACTAAAGGAGAAGAATGTAGGAAAGTATTTTGCATGCTCATCAGTGGGATTTTCAAATGGAAACTACATTTTTAGAAAGTGTGTTAGAGAGGGATACTGAGAATTGTACTCAAGGGACTTATATCTATTTGTCAGTTCATGCCCAGATTTATTTTTAGAGGCCTTTGTCAATCTGAGCACTTTTGATTTCATATGGAAGGATGTCAAAAGGTCTCTGTGATACTTTAGACCTCCCTGCTTTCTTTCATACAAATAATGTGTTTCTGTCTCTACTGACGAGATACATTTGAATGCTAGTTAATTATTAATAAAACCAAAGATGACTCTCAGGAATAGTACTGAAGTAAAGGAGTACTTAGTTACGATGAAGCAAAGAGTTAGCAGGAGATGGGTCTATGGGTAGAGACACGGAGGAGGTATGTTGAATCAAACAGTGCTACTTTCCCTTGGGGCAGTGATTGGGAAACAACATTTATTAGAAGCGTGCCACGGGTGATATATATCAGTTCCATTTTATCCAGATGATTAATATATGTCAGGAGAGAAAGATAAGTATATAAAGTATTGATGAAGATATTAAGATTACTTTTATTTGAAAAAGATCAACAGGTTCTTTTATGAACATCGAACAGAACTGCTTTTCCATTTTGTTTGTACAGAAACAGGCTGTGTAGCATGACAAGTAGCAAGTCTGATTCTGCAGTTCAGTAAGCCTGTGCCTTGGAATTGCTTCTCCATTCACTAGCTTTGGCAAATTACTTAACATTGGAGCATCTTAGAGCTCATTTATAAAAACAGGGATGGAGATACTCTGGGGAGAATTAATGGAAGTCATTTATTATGCCTTCATTCAGCCAATATTTATTCAGTGCTCTGAGCACCAGGGAAGCAAGAAGTAAAAAATTTGAAAGCAAAGTCTTGGCTTTCATGATGCTCAAAATCTAATTGGTGAGTCAGGAAATTAACAAACAAATCAAGAGACTGTAATGACTAATAGAAATAAATGGGGAAATTAGTAGAAATAAGTGGGGAAGATCCTCCTGGAAAATGCAATAAAAAGGAATTTAAGATAGAGAATTAGATATGAAAATCTTGGAGTAAATGAGGATTTACACAAGGGCTGGTGGGTAATCAACAAATTAGCAATGGAAGCCCCTATCATCTTCAAGGTCAGAGAGACAAAGCAGGGAGGTGAGAGACTATGTCACAAGAAGCCAATAATTGGAACCACTCAGCAGGAGCTGAATTCACAGGGGATTTCTCTTTGGGGATGCAGAGTCCTCGAGGTATACTGTTTCCAGAAGGCGCTAGAAATGGAGGATTCATTCTCAGTGATGGAGATGCACCCTGAAACAATGAGAGAGGAAGAGAATATCATAGATTCTCTCCTCTTCTCACCTTCAGTAACCTCCAAGTGTCTTCCACTGACTGAATCAAGCGGGTAGCCAATTTAAATGAAGAATCCTAGGAAGTGTAATTTTCATGGGAAGAGTAGGGAATGACTCTGAGAACAACAGACAGACAAAAGATCTCCCTGGAGATGATGGTGAGGGTGGGCGTGGAGTGAGGGAAAGGAATTTGACAGGAGCAATCAAGTACATCAGTGGTTTTAGCAATATTCCATTTCTTAAGTAGTTCAGTATGCACTGCAGATTTCTATTTTTTTTCATTATTTGAAAAAAGCCTATATGTTACAGAAACTCTTTGAATATAATACAAATACAAAATAAAATTTAAAAGGATAGAAAGTGACTGCTGCTGCTGCTGCTAAGTCGCTTCAGTCGTGTCCGACTCTGTGCGACCCCATAGATGGCAGCCCACCAGGCTCCCCCATCCCTGGGGTTCTCCAGGCAAGAACACTGGAGTGGGAAGTGACTAGATAGTGAATAAAAAATCCTCTCCTTGGAAGTATCACTTGACAACAGACTTAAAAGCACTGAAAGAGGGAGCCTTATGAATACAGAGAGGAAAGGTTTCCAGGTAATATCAAGTCTCTGGAGGAAGAAATGGCAAACCACTCCAGTATTCTTGCCTGGACAATCACATGGACAGAGGAGCCTGGCGGACTACAATCCATAGAGTCACAAAGAGTCGGACACGACTGAAGTGACTTAGCACAATTACAAGTCTAAGAGCCCAAAAATGGGAGAACACAGAAAGTAGTAGTAAGAAGACAGTGAGCAAGGTAGAGTCTGGGGGGGATTAGGGCAGGGGAGTCATTGGGAACCATGACCACAGAAGGCCTCTGTAGACCTTAATAAGATGCCACATTTTATTCTAAATTTGTCTCTATATTTGCTTATTACTGCATCCATTGCTGGGTACATAGTATATTTGCTATTATCAGTAGCTAGAAGGGAGATGCAAGATAACAGGAAAGTGAAAGGGACACACTCAGGGCTAAGCAGAAAACAGTTTAACACAAAGTTTCATCTATGTTAATAATACTGAATAGAGACACTCATGTTCTTTCATTTGTGGGGAGGACTAGTTTCTTCTGAACTAATTTTATATTTGAGAGAACCAGATACATAGCCAAACCAAAGATATTGTTCTAAAGTAATTTACACACACACACAAAATGCCCACACATGAACACATACTATGCAAGCATATGAATATTCTAACACACACACACACAGTGAATTTGAAAGTTTTTTCCCACTTTATCCTGCAAAGAGAGTTATGATCAGATGAAAAATCAAATCATAATAGATAAAGAATAAGGGAAATGATATCAAAAAAGATACAATTGTTTTGTTTAGGTTTATTTAAATAGCATTGTTTTAGTACTGGATAATACTAAAATCCCATGGATGGACAAGACTGGTCGGTTACAGTCCATGGGGTTGCTAAGAGTCAGACACAACTGAGCGACTTCACTAATATTTAGTGGTCATTTAAAGTATATATATGAGGCATACTTTATTATATTACACAGCATATTAACTATGTATTTGGAAAAGTGTTTAGACTATACTGAGGATAATCTCGATATTAGTAGTATCCTGGGAAAAGACTACAAGTGTTAATTGTACCTATATTAAATAAGGAAATAAAGATTTTCAGATTTGTCAGCTTATTATCAAAGTGATAAGGTACCATAGCACAATACAAGAAAAAACGGTCACTTATTTTATAATACTACAGATTGTCCAAACCTCAGTCAGCATCCACCTACCTGTAATAGATCAAAGGAGGGAGGAAAGGAGATCGATTGATCGATAAATGGATAGATAAACAGACAAAATGCCATAAAGTGAAAAAATCCATTATTCTTCAGCACAGAGCAGCACACAACAAAAATCTCTCAAATCCAGAAGAAGATGAACACTGAGACGTTCTAAATTATTAAATGATATATTTGATCAATCTTTCTTCTATTAACTAACAGAATTCTAGCTAGATGTTAGGAAATAACCACAACTTGGTGTTTCTATTTTTTCTTTCTGTTAATTTAAACAATATGTCAACAAAGCATGCATTATATTGCATTATTCAATGAATAATTGAATAATGGTTCTCTTCAAAACCCTGAGGAAGTATTCAGTCCAGACCATCATTGCATGTGGGCTCTATATACTATG